GGGGTCAAACGGCAGGGTCTGGGCGGGGGGCTGGGTCGGCCCAGATCGGTGGATGCCCTTACCGGCCAGGTGGCGAGTGGGGGCGACATTCCAGAGCTTGCGAGCTTCATGGATGAGGAGGCCACTGCTTTGGCGTTGACCAACGGCGATGATCCGCGGATGGATGCGGGTGCCGAGGCCGAGGACGCCAAGGCGGACGAGGCCGAGGACGCCAAGGCGGACGAAGTCATGAAGGAGTTCCCCAAGAAGGAGAAGAAACAGAAGAAGGTGAAGGAGAACAAAGAGGCCAAAGAGAAGACACTTTGTTTGACCGACTGATCGGAGTTATACTTAGTATATACTTTCTGTTTTGCCATATTAGTCCGTTTGGATTTTCTGCAGCCCGCACTGCGTGACTGCGACTGTGGATGTTTTCTTGCATTGCTGCAACGCCCGTGATTGCTTGAGGAAACACAAGTCGGAGCAGGTCAAGGCAATCGCTGCCACGGCGAAGGCGAAGGCGAAGGGGAAGGCGAAGCCGCAAGTTGGCAAGAAGAGGGGCGCTGACACCTCATCCATGGACTTGCGGTCAATGATGGTGACTAAGTCATGAATGCCATCATGGGGTGGGGTGGCGGGATCGGGGGTTCCCTTGTACACGAACTCAGGAAAATGAAATCACTTCAACGTCATTTGATGAAAGTCTTGAGGACCTCCTGAACGCCACTCCTTTTTTTTGGGGTGGGCTCAGTTGACAACTGGCAACAATAGCCGGATGTTTGACTGACTTGGTAGTGGCAGCAGTGCTCAAAAGTTTCCAGAATCCAGACCAGACCAAGGACCAATCCAGACCCATCAAGACCACCCTTCAAAGTACATCAGGACCCATCAGGACCAATCCAAACCTATCAGGACCAATCCAAACCCATCCACAAGTCCACCATCCTTCAAAATACACATTTGTTTGAGCCATGCTGCAATTAAAGCCCTTTGAAGGCTTGGGGGGGACCTGACCATCCATCAGACATGAGCATCTGGAGCGGCCGGTAAAAAAGCAGCGTTTGTGCAGGTGTGCGCTGGATCCTGCCAGGTTGTGTCTGTTCTGAAATCGTTGAAATCACCTAATTTTCAGCCCTTTTTGTCAATAAGTGTTTATGAATCGTTGACAGAATTTCATGAACACTTATTTGGTTTTGCCCCTTCTCCAGAGGTCCAGAACACTTATTTTGAGCCAATTTCGGCAACATAAGCAAGTTAACATTTGTTTGTTCGTTTTTTTTCTTCTTTGTTTTCTGTGATTGTTTGTTTGTGTGTTTGTTTGTTTCTGTGTTTGTTGGTTTGTGTGTTTGCCGTGCTTGTTTGTTTGTTTGGTTGGTTGGTTGGTTGGTTGTTTGGTTACTTTGCTTTTTGATTGTTTGTTTGAATGTGTTTGTTTGCTTGCTTGCTTGTTTGCTGGTTTGTGTGTTTGTTTGCTTGCTTGCTTGTTTGCTGGTTTGTGTGTTTGTTTGTGTGTCTGTTTGGTTGTTTGTCTGCCTGCCTGCCTGCCTGCCTGTCTGTTTGTTGGTTTGTTTGTTTGTTTGTTTGTTGGTTTGACTTGCTTGATTTGTTTTGAATTGATTTGATTTGATTTGAGTTAATTGGATTTGAGCTGCTTTGGGGTTGATGTGATTTGATTAACTGCTGTGATCTGATTGACTGATTGACTGATTGGTTGGTTGGTTGGATTGGTTTGGGTTGGATTGGTTGATTGATTGATTGATTGATTGATTGATTGATTGATTGATTGATTGATTGATTGATTGTGATGACCGTTTTCAATTCGGGTGGTCTCTGTTGACAAATTCCAAGTTGTTCCGCGTATCCCGCAATCCCTTTTTGCTTGGCGGCTTTCGCACCACGCAGGCAGGATCAGGGAGCAACTGGGCATATCTGAGACCTTTGAAAAACACGCCCCGTTGAAGCTTTGAAGGTTCATATAACATGGGAATCTAAACGTGCTGTGAGGGCAAAAGCAGCAAGATGCAGCGAGTTTGTTTTTGGCTTCTTGAAATGCAGACAGCCTCACAAATGACACGGATGCCCGCGCATTGCTTTCGCCAAGCATTTTCGTTTGGCAACACCAACAGGCAATATGTTGATGCTGAAAACTGATGCACATAGGTGTTGACGTACCAGTGCGTTTTTGATGCCTCACATGTCAGTTTTCTGGTGGGCGCCAAGGCTTAGCACGCTTTCTCAACCGGGCAGCCAGCAAGCTGCAGGGATGAATGCGCTTGGCAATAATCAAGAGTGCTAGCAAAAAGCCGCCAACCTGCAGCGCCTTGCAATCCTCTGAGGTGACTCAATCCATCCATCTGCCTCAAAACATGGATGAACAAACCGTCAACTGCAACAGAAATCCGTCGATCTACCCCAAAAAGCCCCCTGTGTTTTTCCTCGCGCGCCATGGGGTTTTTCAAACGCACCCCACATCACACCTGCGGGTTCCGAGAAAAACGAAGCGGCGAAGAATTCTGAGGCTCGGCTGCCTGGAAGGCGCCCAGTATGAAGAAGGCCCAGCTGCCGGCCATCCGCTTCTTGATCTTCCGCTTCCGGCCCGACGCCGCTTGGCTGAGGCGCTTGGATGGCTGTTTGCAAGGTAAACATGCGGAAGAGCCAGTCTTGTCCTTTTCTTTTTTGGCAAAGTAAATATGCGGAAGAGCCAGTCTTGTCGTGGATGTTTTTTTTTGGTGTTTTTGCAAACGACGGAAATGTTCTGAAGAGCCATTGATGCCTTGATATTGGATGTTTGTTGTGCCAAACACATATTTGCTGACGAGCCATCGGAGACTTAAAGTGCGCAACTCTTGACCTGGGCTTCTAGCGCAGTGGTTAGCTCCAAGATGATGTTCGCTACCCCCAAGCCACTGGTCCAGGGGATTCTTGTAGAAAGCAGCTGCGTAGGTTTTCACATGGCGGTACGCACCATATTGTGGCGGAAGCCTTTTGTTTGGAGCCTCAGCTCAGCTGAAGGAGAGCCGACCTCTGGACCTTTTGGCTTTTCCCATGGGCTCCAGTCCACTAGTCCAGGCTCCAGTCCACTAGTCCAGGCGCCGGTCCACTAGTCCAGGCTCCAAAAATGAGCGCCTTGATATCCATATGGGTCAAAGATAGTGGCGCCTTGATATCCATATGGGTCGTGACAGAAAGACAGTGGCCCGTGGCGCGGTTTTGTGCTGCGTTTGAGCAACATGCGGCCTTGGGCTGGATGCCATTATTGGCAATCACACTCTGGTGGCCCTTCACCTGCATCAACTTTTCACTCAACAAGTTTCCGAAGCTGGTGAGGCCTGCGCAATTGCATACATGCCTTTACTTTGCCAGAGGCTTTTGCACCAAGCGCTGGCTCCCGAGGTCTGGTGGTTTGGGCTGGTTCTGTTGGCACGGGGGCCTTTGTTGTCTTTGCCGGCCGTGCTGGTGACCAACATGCCTTCGCTGCACCTGGCGCTCATGCAGCTTTGCAGCAGTTGCGACTTTTGTGTCCGAACGCCGCCGACCTCGATTCGGCCGCCCTTAGGGAGACTTCAAGGATGTTGTTTGAGCAGTGGTTAAAGCATGCTTTAAACAAGAGGGTGGCCCAACCCTTTTGCGTATGTGCCATTTGTTGGAATGTTTCTGCCATATCTTATGGCGGGCTCACTTTTGCTCACTAAACTGCTTGGGTATCTCATCTTAGGGTAAATTCACGATGACTTCAATGTTCAACTGTTTTTCTGCAAAGCACAGAGGCAACAAGAAAACAAACTCGCTTTGCTCCACGTATATGGGAACCCCCAAAACGGTGGGGCTCACATACATTTGGACATGTCAGGAAGGTGTTATGTGTTGTTGTTTTCCTCTTGCTCTTTGTTTTTGCTTCCCAATCTCTCCTCTATGTTTCTTTCCGTTTCTCTCTTTCCTTTAATTTATCTTTCTCTGTCTCCCTCCCACCCTCCCTCCCCCGCTCTCTCTCTCTCTCTTTCTCTCTCTCTCTCTCTCTTTCCTTCTTTCTTTTTTTCTTTCATCCTTCCTTCCTACCCCTTCTTCCCGCCCTCCCTCCCTCCCTCCCTCACTCCCTCCCTCCCTCCCTCCCTCCCTCCCTTCCTTCCTTCCTTCCTTCCTTCCTTCCTTCCTTCCTTCCTTCCTTCCTTCCTTCCTTCTTTCTTTCCCTCTTTTTTTCTTTCTTTACTTTTTATTTTTATTTTTTATTTATGTATTTATGTCATTATTTCTTGTTCTTTCTTTCTTGTTCTTTCTTTGTCTCTCTGCAAAACACTCACCCAATTTGGGGTTGACCCGAAAGCCCACAGAGAGATCGCAGCGGGTTCACCATTTGCTGCCTGCACAAACTGAAAACAGTATACAACAACACATGTTCGAGGGTCGACCCTGGTGTTCCGCGATCAAAGTGAAAAACGAATAGAAGCAACGGCATGTTTTGAATGGCTGACACCACGAAAGTCTGCACAGGGCTCACCACTTGAAGGATGCAAATCGGCTCGCACGGGACTGCGTTAATGGTCCCGTCTCCGCACCTGTTCCCAGATGGGGAGGAGCCGAATGCAGGCACTTGTCCATTATTCTGCCGGCTTCTATTCCCAATGATTCTCGCTTCCTTCTTGGCCTCAGCTTTTGCACACGCAGTGTGCATATTCTCCAGGAAAGCACACTCAGCTAGTCCCAGCACCACGGAAGTTCTGGTTGAACTTGGTTTGTGTTGAAATCCGGGAAAATGCGAAATGCTCGTGCCTTTTCCCGAGCAGGCCACAAGCTGGAGCATGGTTTGGCGTTAAAAAATTGCCTAGGCTGGGCATCCTCTTGTTCTCCCTGAGCCTGCAGATCTGGTTCCTGCCATGGAAGGCGCCCGTCTTGAACCTCGTGCCCCGGCGGAGAGCTTGGATCGCATGGATCGGTTGCCAGAAGGCAGAAAGCTCTTCCATAGGTTTCTGGCAAAGGATGGCAATGCTGTTAGGGATATGGCACATTTCGTATTTGAAGGAGCCATGCAAGCTACGGCTTGTTGGTGTGTTTATATGTGTTCCATAGAAAGCTTTTGTGTTGATATTTGATACATCGCTTGATATGTCTTGATAAGTTTCTCCCGGAGTTTTGCCAGTTCCAGGTGGACGGTGTCTCGATTGGCCTGATGATCATGCTGCTCTCGCTCACCCTGGGCTTCGCTGAGAGCACGGCGGCAGAAGTCGAGATCCTTCAATCAGCGGCCACTCGGAGTTGCCCTGAGACGCGGGAGTTGGTTGATCCGGCGGATGCCTGCACCGCTTTGACGCATTTTGTATCCATTGAGGTGAGCTGGTTTGGGGTGTCCTTTTTGTCCCTTCGTTTTGAAGCTACCAACCTTCGGCCTAATCCAACCCTCTATCCGCCCTAAGCTAGCCCTGTACCCACCCTCAGCCCTGCCGCAACCTCAAGCCCTTGAAAACCATCACTCAAATGACTCTCCCCACACCCTAGGCTTTTTCTTGGGGGTTTACGCATCTTCATTTTAATGCTAAGCAACACACACCTTCATTCATTTGAGATTGCCCTGCAGCTATTGCCGTTTTGACCTCCCTGATTCGCACTCTCCAGCTTGCCGATCAGCCGAGCAAACCAGTGTGTGAAACCGGTGACTGTCAAATTAGCTTAGCCTTTTCTTTGGCTAGCCCAGCTAAGCAACCCCGAAATCACCGCAAATATCCGCTCAGTTTGTCAGGGGGCAGATCTATTTGCAGATAAACACAAGTTGACTTGCGCAAGGTCCTTCCAATCTTCTTTTCTCGCGCGGCTGACTCGGCTGACTGCATGTGATCCGCATCCAAGCGTGTAGGTCAACACTATAGTGTCCTGCCTGGAGGTGATGCGCTCAACCATGTTTTGGCGCAATGACACCCTTCATACGTAGCCTTGTTGCTGTGCGTTATATTTGGCCTGGTGCCTCCAGGGCACCCACAGTTTGCCTATCTCCGGGCATTTTTCAGAAAATTCCCATCGAAACAACCAGGCGCCGCCAAGAAACATGCGGGGGTGGGGCGTGTACCAGCTGGTAAGTGGCACCCTCCAAATCCTTTGTTTTCGGCGGGTCCACCTCCAAACATGGTCAACCCCCAAACACAGATGGTTCCCATTCTTTGTCCACCTTTCCAGCCGGGGTAAATGGAATTGGTTATGCAGGCTATCCCTGAACAGGCACACACACACACACATGTAACTTGCTCGTCAGATACCCCCCCCCCCACACAAAACATAAAATGAGTAGACCTGGGTGGCGTTGGAGGTGACAGTGGTGTCCTCCTGCATGGTGATGATCCTGGCCTTGATGCTCCTGATGGCCCTGGTGGCCTTGTTTCATCGGAAGGCTCTCGGGGGTCAGAAGGCGCGGAGTGCCAAGTGTCGACCGCTCCGTTCCTCCGTTGGGTGGTGGGGGTGGGGTGGGGTTGGGCCGGGTTGGGCCGGGCTGGGGTGGGCTGGGGTGGGTGGGTGGGGTGGTGGGGGCGGGGTGGGGTGGGTGGGGTGGGGGGGTGGGGTGGGGTGGGGTGGGTGGGGTGGGTTGGGGTGGGGTGGCGGGCCCAAACCAAGATTGAAAACATGGCAAACATGTCCATCGAGCATTGCCCGCCAAAAAAATGGCATCAGACTTTCCGTTGGGCTTTCCGCTTCTTCATTTTGTTTTCGGGAGGATTCCCTTCACAAAGGGCATGGCGATGCCGACTTGTCCTCTTTGTTGGGAGGGTTCCCTTCAAAATCGAGCTACAAAATACGGGTGCTTTTGTTCCCCCCGTGGCCCGTGCTGGGACGATTGTCGGCTGTTCCTTGTTGAAATACGATTGACACGCGAAACTCCATGAACCCTCCGAGCCTTCGACGTTTGTGTGATGAGCGAGAGGGAAAAAAACAACTTTGGGCTAATACAATCACTTTGCTCGTTTCGGGACGTTGGGCAGACAGCTTGAAACTTTCAACTATGCCCTGAGAGGCAACGTGTCATTTCCATATTCCTTCCAGGGAATAGAATATGTTTTCGACTTGGGAACGATTGGTTTTCATTGTTTCAGATCACACTAGCTCTTTGTCTTTGAGATTTCCTCATTTTGGACTCCGGCACACGGTTCCATCCGGACCTTATTATTGAGGATTTCACATTCTCAGGGGCCTAACTTGTCTTGTTTGATTCCCGCGGGCCAAAAAGCAAGCCTTGCTCGATCGAGGGCTTGGTGTTGTTCTGCTAGATTCTCGACTGGTGCCGGAAAAGCAAGTCGTCGAGGGCCTGGTGTCCCCTTTTGTAGATACCACGGCTAGGCCAGAAAAAAAACTCGTTTCATTGTGGGATTCCGGCCCTGGGCGCGCACGCGGGTGTGTGTGTGTGTGTGTGTTTTTGGTATCTGTGCGTGTTTTTGATGTAGATATCCGCTTGGGGCCAGCAACAAGGCTTCCTCGGCCAGGCCTTCAAGTCAAGGAAAGCCTTGTTTACGGCCCGCGTGAATCCAACAAACAACCCCCCCTCAACAAAAGCCCTGGTTCCAGCCCGTGGCGAGAAAGTGAAATTCAAAATATGGGAATTCAACGGAACACCGGAGCCTTCGAATTGATCCATGGTTTCCCTCCCAACAGATTGCTTCGGTTTCATTTCTTCACCAGCTCAGCAGCTCAGCCGATTTGGTTGATGTTAGCGAAACGCGTCACAGACCGATCCCGTATACAAGACTCATACAGGCAGAAACACCTCGTGGCCCTATTGAACGGACAAGCACTTGTTGGGCGTGTGTGAAATCAGGTTTGGGTGGCAATTGGCGGGGTGACAAATGCTTGCCTGCCGGGATCGTTGACTTCTGCCCAGATGCCATGAATTGACTGCCAGGAGTTCTGGCCGATGAATCTCTACATGCGCCCGGATGCGGAGGACGTGCGGAAAGAAAGACCATCTGGGTTCCGCTGGCCTTGGAAGAAATAAATTGGAACAGCTGAATGCATGGCTCAAAGCACAGTTCTCCCCCTACACGCCAATTTGAAGACAAGTTTCGGAGGCGTGAATTGCCAACCTTAGGCCGTGAAAGGGACAAACTCTTGGCAATTTCTTCGCCCGCACATCTTGAGCTGGGACCAGGCCCTTGGCGTGAACGAAACCTTGCTGGTGCGATAGGAGGGAGTGACCCAGGGTTTTGGGAATGAACTCAGCCTCAAACAAGCCTCAAGCCCGGCCCCACGCGGCTACATGCGAAGCTGAGCCTAAAGATCGCCAACCTGATAGCATCCTGGCCAACTAAGTCCATCCCGGGATAGTCCGAGCCTTAGCAACCCGAAATCAACCCCAAGCCAAGCCTGAAGCAAACCCAAACTCACACAAAATCCAACATAAAGCAAGGTCAGCCCATTAATGAAGTGCGAGAACCAGGCATCAAATGAGCCACCGTCGCAGGGGTAAGGCCCGACACGGGTTGGTGTTTGCCCCTGGCAGCCAATGCTGAATCCTGGTGAGGGCTGGGGCTGCAAAAGGTGAGGGGAGGTTATAAAGCTGCTACCACCCCCAAGCACACCTCAATCACACCTCTGGAATTTGTCAACTTTACAATTTTAAGGGGTCGCAGGGTTGATGTTTGTACTGCGCAGGATGTCTCGTCAAGCCTCCTGGAAGTGTCCGAATCTTTTCAGAAGCTTGACTCCAAAGCTTCCCTGCTGAATTGGCAACCGCGTGACGCACTTCGTTTTGGCACTTAGGCTTCCCCTTAAATAAACCATAAGGTTCTGAACAAGTAGAACGGCGCACAGTTAGCCAAGTTACGTCATGACCATAGGACAATACTGAACATATCGTCTCTCTGTGTGTGTGTGCAACTATTTAGCCCCCTTTCATTAAGCCCCCCCCCCCCCGGCTACTTTGGAACACGAAGGTCGGAACCCGAGGCGCTCGAAGTCGTTTTTTGTTTTTGTTTTTTTTCTCCAGACTAATCCAAATGTGAAATAAGTAAGCCAGGATGTCAGTGTTTGGGTCTTTGTCTTTAGCCGTCCCTTCGATCAGGTGCTGGCCGCATCCCTTTCACAGCTTGCAGTCTATGACTTCGACGTGATCGTGCGCTGCATTGATGTCCTCGCAGATGAAGTCGCCCTGGAGGTGGGTTGCGGCGTTGCGCAAAATTTAACCAAATTGTTGGCCCGCTTAGGGGAACCATGCAGGTTCTTTAAACACCTTGGAGTTTCAACATGCAACAACGTGTAACAAGGGGACAAGCCGCCAGGTCAGCCAAGAAGCCTACGGGCGTCACGTGTCCACCTCTCAGCGGTCCTTGAAGTCCGACAATTCCCTCGGGCCGAAGAAATCCGAAGCGCCGGAAGTTCCGGCGATCGTCCAGCCCGAGAACCGGGCCTCGCACTTTGAAACGATGCGAACTGCGGTGCTCTGAGTTTCGGGGGTGCGATTGGCACCCCCTGGTTTCGCTGGTTTCTGTCCCCAATCCCTAATGAATGTGTAAAGTCCACATCAGTTTTGGGCGGCCAAATGGACGTGTATTATACTGTTAGGGGGTGGGGGTTCCCGGCTGTAAGCCACACTATGTTTGGTCGGAGGGCCTGAAATTGGAACTGCCAGCAGTCTGCTGAAGCTTCCGTTCATGTCCAGCCACGGGCAGGTAAGCAATTGTCCCGAAAACTCGGACATTTGCCGCCACCTGTGTTATGATAATGTCAGACTGTAAGCAAGCCAAGCAAGGATTCAAAGTCCAACACGTCGATGTTTAGGAGGTTCAGCATGTTTGGCTTGCATGTTGTTTGGCTAAAGCCAACGTTAAGTTCATGTTGAGCCAAAGTCAATCTTTGCCTACAATCCTTCAGGACAACATGATGACCCCACTCACCAGCTGAAGACTTTGTTGCAAATTCACCTTGGCTCAGCCCAAAGCCGTGGATTTTGCGATTCGACTCGCAGCCTCGATGTTTCCGGCCTTGTTTCGGGACAACTCCTCCCGGGCCTTCCTATTTCTCCTGGAGCCGGCCCAGAGCTTGCTCCAAGTTCTGGCACGTGCACCTACCTGCCACGGGGCTGGAGGATGTGGATGTTTTCCTTCCTGGCCGCCCCCTGGCGGATTTTCAAGGAAAGTCCCGTCGGATTGGGAAAGTGAGCCAGCCGAGCTTGATGGGTCGATTTGGCGTGAAGACTTTTTGAGGATTTTGTTTAGTTTATTTTAGTTTGAAGGGTCACTTTAGCGGACCCAGCTAGGCAAACTGGAGGATTCAGTTGAGAGTTGCCCCCTCAACACGACCGGTGTTTGAACCTCCAAACCCTGACCGTGTCGCACGCTGGTTGAACCATGTAGCGCACTAGGAACGGGTTGGGCCTCTGAAGGGCTCAGAAAACTTGTTTGAACTGTAATGTTGATCTCCTATTAATCAACCCCTGCTTATTAATATGGGGGTGTTCCCCTCCAAAAGTGAAAAATCCCCACTAAATCCTGGGACCCCCATATTAATAAACAGGGGTTGATTTCTAGGGGGTTTCCATTGCTGAACTGTGAGCTGTCCTGGAAGCCTCACCTCAGAGGTAACGGCGCCATGCAATGCGAAGCAACACTAGGGTCCCTGCTTGAATTTCTTGGACGTCGACCGATTCGGAAACAAACTGCTGGATTCAGCGCTGCGATTCAACAACTCTTCTGCACGGTTTAGCTTGCTTGCACGATTCAGAAACTCCTGGATGCGATTCAGCATCAGAAACTCTTTGCACGATTCAGAAGGGGCACGGCTTTTCCGGAAAGATTGGGGAACCAGCCCAGCATTTCCATCTCCAAACCATCCCTAAACTCCCCACCCTGCACTTTCTTGCTTTTGGCTTGGTGAGTCACCATGATTTTCCGTTAAATATGGTTCCCTTCTTCCTTTCGGGTCAGTCTTTTTTTTTGATTCTCACGTTCAAGGCGTTAGTTCCGCAAATAGCAACGGTTCCCTTTTCCTGGCACACTCACTGGTTGCAACTGGCTGGAAGCGTTCAACAATCAGTTGTAGCTTCCACCAGGGAACCAACTTGGCCAGCCGAAGCAAAATGCAGTTCATGAGCGCAACAAACGAGACAAAAGGATGAGTACTCGTTTGTAAAGTTGTTTGCCGCCCACCTTTTTGTTGCCCACCCCACTTTTTTTGTAGGTTCTTCGAGTACCAGGTAGTTTGTAAAACTATTTGCCCGCTGGTTGCCCCAAAATCCGTTAGGCGAGGTCGCTGGTGGGAGGGCCAGCTTGGGGCGAACAGCAGCGCCTGCCACCCCTGCCCGGAGGGCTGTTACCAGCCCGGCCTGGCGCAGGTTGGCGGGTTTTGGGTGTGCGCGGTTTGGTTGGGAATTGGGGCGCGCTCTCGGCTTTGGGAGAGGGTTTTGATCGTTTTGATGGGGTTGTCAAACAACCTTTGGGGGGAAACCAGTTGAAATCATGATTTAGACGGGCATTTTCGAGGTGGACCCAACCAATGGGCGGGCGGGAAACCACAAGGCGTTCAGTCTTCGTGGCCATGTCGTGCGGCCTGGAACTGTGCTTCATGGTGAGTGTTTCTGGGAAAGGTAGGACTACTAAGGTGAAAAGCCGGGGGGGCAGCGGCAGTGGGGCAAGACATGTTGTTGCCTTTGTTTTCGAGCGGCTGAAAATCCTGTTGTGCCAAGCTTTGAGGTCCTTAGGCCCCAATGAACCGTTTGTTCCGCCTTTGAACAACTTTTTGCGGGTTCGGGTCGAGGAAGTGGGCAGACTTGCTTGGGTGAAAGTGCCGGCAGGAACACAAAAGCTTGCCCTTTGCCCAAACGTGTTTAACCCTCTCTTTTTTCGCAACCAGGGCATGTTTTCAGGGTTGATCGTCCCAGGGTTCCCCGTATTTTCCCTTTTGGCTGCATGCATCACATAGCATCGCCTTGAGGTAAGTTTGCTTTTGGTGGCTGCTCTGAAGCACTCAGCTGCGGATTCTATGGGCTTCAAATCACCGGAACCAAATCGAAGCCAATGTAAGTTGCAAGGCTGAGAAGGTCTCTCGGGGTTTAACGGTTTGCTCCAACCAAATTCCATAGCCGAGTTTCGGCCTCAACTTGAACTGGCTGGTTTTTGCATGGCTGCGGCCGAAGTGGCAAAGTGGGCATCGGAGTGGAAGCTCCGGGCTCTTCACGGCAGCTCAGTGCGGTGTGTCCCCGGATCTTCAGACGGCAGGTGGGCCGCTTCAGCTGCCTGCCCTGCGCCCCCGGGAACTTCAGCGGAAACGCCTCCGGCGCCTGCCGCAGCTGCCCCGTGGGCTCCTGGAGCGGCCTGGGGGCCAGCAAGTGCAACGTCTGCGAGGAGCCTTTCACGCTTGGAATGCGGTTTGAGCTTTGTTTTGTTTTGGGGGGGGTTCTGTTCAGTGGTAGTGGTAGTGGTAGTGTTTGTTTTTGTTTGGTTCTGTAGAATCGTAGTGGGGGCCTACAAAAGACCACATCTGTTCTTTTTCTACCATACCCAAGGTTCGGAAAGTTGCCAGACGAGGCTGACCCTTTGAAAGGCTTCTTTGTGCCGTTTCCTTCATGTTCCCGTACCAGCAAAAAGTGAGCGCTTTGCAGGTCTGCGTTTGGCACAGCAGTCCCAGGGTTGGGTACCCTCTCAAACTGGACACCACCCCCAATCAAAATCGGGAAGGTGGTCGTTTTTGAACGCGTGTCTTGGCTCGTTTTTGAACGCGTGTTTTGGCTCGTTTTTGAACGCGGTTTTGCTCAAGTGTACGTGATTTACAGCAGCACGGCCATTTTTCCAAGTGTCCACGCACACCACGATGAGGCGCACGAACACGCACCACGATGCACGTGTAGCACATGGATGGCGCCGCGCTTTTGGGAGACAATCGTCAACTGTAGACCCGGGAACGCAAAGCACAAGGAACGCAAAGCGACATCATCATCAACATCATCATCAACATCATCATCATCAACATCGTCAACATAATCATCATCATCATGATCATCATCATCATCATCATTATTATCATCATCAACACCAACATCATCATCAACACCGTCATCATCACTACCAACAACATCACCATCATCAGCACCATCATCAACATCACCACCAACATCTACATCATCATCATCAACAACACCGTCAACATCAGCATCATCACCATCATCATCATCACCCCCATCATCACCATTATCATCATCATCATCAACATCATCATCGTCAACATCAGCATCAGCATCAGCATCAGCATCAACATCATCACCATCATCATCATCATTAACAACATCATCACCATTATCAACATCAACGTCGACATCACCATCATCATCGACATCATCAAAGTCATCGCCATCGACATCCTCATCGCCAACATCAATATCATCATCATCATCAACATCATCATCATCATCATCATCATCGTCAACATCGTCAACATAATCATCATCATCATCATCATCAACATCGTCAACATAATCAGCATCATCATCATCATCATCATCATGACCATCATCATCAACATCGTCATCATCACTACCAACAACACACCACCATCACCACCAGCGCGCAGTCGCACGGTCACGCAGTAAGAGGCGAACGTAATTGCCCCACCCCATCCCCCCCCCCAGCCCCAGGACGCAGTCGCACGGTCACGCAGCAAGAAGCGAACGTAACTGCCCCACCCCACCCCCCCCCCCGCCCCAATACGCAGTTGCGGCGCCACGCAGTAAGCGGCGATCGCAATTCCAGGAGGCTCCGATTCGCAAGTTACTTAGGCCGTATGAGCTAAGGAGGTTTTTTGTGTCGCGAGGACAAGATAACTCAGAGCTTGAAATTTCACGAGTTTTCACGGCTTTTTCAGGCCTTTCGCTAGGCCGAGTTTCACGGCTTTACGGGGCTCCGATTCGCAAGTTACTTAGGCTGTATGAGCTAAGGAGGTTTTTTGTGTCGCGAGGACAAGATAACTCAGAGCTTGAAATTTCACGAGTTTTCACGGCTTTTTCACTGAGTAGTAACGGCCTTTCAGTTTCCCGCGCGAGGAGCCTCCTGGTTGCCCCCTTCCCGCAGCCCCAAGGCGCAGTTGCACGGGCACGCAGTAAGAGGCGAACGTAACTGCCCCAACCCCCCCCCCCTCAGAATACGCAGTTCCACCATCACGCAGTCAGCAGCGATCGCAATTACCCCCTTCCCCCAGCCCCAGGATGCAGTCGCACGGTCACGCAGTACGAGGCGAACGTAACTACCCCACCCCACCCCCCCCACCCCACGGGTGCCGCAGGATAGCCCCCCATGTGTTCGAAAATGACCCATTCTGTGTTCGAAAATGATCCAGGACATCGGTGTTCGAAAATGATCCAAAATCGGTGTTCGAAAATGATCCCCCTCCCATCAAAATCTGCCAATGGCTTACTTGTTCAACCAAACAGGCCCTTGTCCCCGTAAGAAGCAAGGGGTCGAGTCAGCCCTGTCCCCCATCGACAATGTGCCAATTAGAAGGGGGGTTCGACTGAGTCCAGTCTTTGGCTTGTGCTTTTGCTTGGGCGTTTGGCCTTTTTGGGTGACAGGTCACCCAACTCAGTTGCCGAAAGCCGACCTTTTAACCTTCTGGTTTTCCAATGTTGGTCTATCTTTAGTAAAGGCCCCAAAAGGTGAACCTTTTATTCCTGGGGTCCTTTGGGCGACTGGTCGCCAAAAAGGCCACGTGACCTGCGGCTTCGGCCGCCAACGGGCAGAGCGCATGCGTCAGGAGGGCTGGAGCCGCGTGCCCGGCGCCGTGGGCCCGGAGATGTGCAGCGACTGCGAGGGCCAGTGCCAGGAAGGCCATCGATCGGCCGCTCGCAGATCGCAGTCCACCCCCTGAATTGATGGGGAAGCACCAACATGAACATCGGAGACCCTAAAACAAAGGCTGCAAAAGCCGCCTCGGCCTTTTATAAACAAACAAAATTGTAAAGCCCACGTTTGTTGCACACGTTGAAAGGTTGAAGTATCATGCTGTCTGGAGCTTGCACCAAGAAAATAGCACGGTGCGAGTGTGAGAGAGAGAGAGAGTTGTTGTGTCTTATCGTGTTTTTGTTTGTCTTTGTTTCTTTGTGTCGTTGTTTCTGGCTTTGCGTCCTTGAGTCTTTGTCTTTGCGTCCTTGCGTGTTGTGTGTGTGTGTGTGGCCCCCCTGTTCCTAAGGGGTTTTGCGGTTGTGCTTTTTCCTTTTTCTTTTTGGAGTCGAACGCCACCTTGCTGGATGTCTCAACATGAAGTAGTGTCACCTGCCGATGGCGTTCCTGAAGAGGATGGTCGGTGGCACGAAAGATGTTTGAGCATGCAGTAAGCCGAAACTCCATTGCCCTGCCGGAGACCTTCAAACAGCCTGTACCTGTATGGTGGTGCACATTGTCAGCTTTTGCCGTCTCATATCAAGTGTGTTTAGGCACTGCGTCCGGGCTTCGGTCAGTGTCTTGATCCCTGTTGTGGGCATCTGTTCCGACTCATGCACAGACATTTTCTACAGACTGTTACCGGACCTTGTCGCTCGTGACGCTTGACTGTTCCAGCTGATCTTCTCAATGCAGGCTTGGACCTCTCCCAGACCTTCCGGCACCCCAGAATCGTTTTCTCACCACCCAAAAGACCTTAATTAAGGTTTCCAACCTTATTTAAGTTTATCAACCTTAAAAAAACTCCTTAATTAAAGGCATTAGTCCTTATTTAAAGTCTTTTTCTTGAAAACACATACAAAAGTCCTGATTTAAGGTCTTTTTTTAAGGTTGAATCCAACATTT